AAATTTCGTCGCGCTGACAAATTGCATATGCATATTCAAAACTCGAGCGCGGTGTCAGTCGTCACCTGACTAGAATTTCGTCACCTGACTGGAATTTCGTCACCTCATGGCCTACCTCTTCAGATACAATCACCTTCACTCGCTCGATCGCTTGGACAACCGACTATCGTAAGCTACCATCTTCCCTATTGTTGTAAGCTACCCTAGTACTCCTCTTCATCTCCCAGCCGGCAACTCTAACTGACCTCTTCTCTCCACTACATCGGCAACCCTCTGATTACTCTCTCGTTCAACCGATCAATTATCTAGCAGCTACCCTTCGATCGCTCGCTCATCGACTGATCAATCAATTGTTGGAACCTACCTCCTAGCTACCCTTCGATTGCTCGCTCGTCAACCGATTGATCAATTGAGCTGCCCTTCAATTGTTGACTCGTCGACTGATCGATCGATCATTGGGACTCCTAGCTACCCTTTGATTGCTTGCTCATCAACTGATTGATTGATCGAGCTGCCCTGCGATCGCTGACTCGTCAACCAATCAATCAATCATTGTAAGCTCCCCCTAGCTACCCTTTGTTTGATCTCTTGATCAACTGATCGATTATCCAGCTGCCCTTTTGTGCTTGCTGGCTCAACTGACCGACTCTCTCTCAATCAACCGATCAACCGTCTAGCTACCCTTCTTTGTTTGCTCGCTCACCCAATCAACTCGCCTATTGTCACTTGCTCTACAGGCCAGACTATAAGCTACCAAGGCTACATACAACACCCCTGCCTGTGTGATCAGTTGTGTAAGTCTTACGCATTCATTTTTTGCCTCTCCTTTTTTCAAACTCTAAGAAGCCAAGCCAGAAATCAATCTTGCTGGGGTAAGCCCTCCTCCTCGTAATCCCTGATCAAAAGATGGCCTTGCCAAGGCAACGCGGAGTAAACGCAAGCTTAACAAGGTTGTCAGATGGTTAGGTTGACAGGAGGGTTAAATGGAATCTCATTTTGCTTCCTTCTATCATTCACCTATTCTATGACATCGTGAGCCATGCTGACATCTTTTTTTAAAATTGATGATTCATATAGTAATCATGACTTTTCATCCTGACGATATCAGTGATTCCAGCCTAACAGATATCAGTAGTTCTTCCAGTGAGAGTGAACCGGAGGATAAAGGGGTTAGTTCACTGACCCGGGAGGAAATAATAAAGTTTGTTCCTTTTTGGAAATTCATCGCCACATTACCCAGTCTTTCACTAATGATCTATTCCTCATTTCCAGCGCTCGCAAGGCGAAGAAAAAACGTAGACGCAATAAAAACTGGAGTGAGAAGAGAAATGCGAAGTGTAAACAAGCTACAGCAATGTTTCTTACCAACTTGCCACCAAATTGCGGCTCTGTTATTTCGGATGTGAAGGTCGTAGCAAAGCGTGATCTGTTCCCCGACATCACTGCTGAAACCAAACAAGCAAAGATCGAAAGGAAATTGGCAAGGAAACGCTTCAAAAAGGCTGGCGGACCACTACCTCCCAAAAAGAAAATATCTGATTGGTTGCCTACTCCAGAGGAAATTGCGACTGCCAGTTCGATCGTCGAGGACCCTACAAAGTTTCGCCTCTACGACCATGGACATGTTTGCATCTTTGATAAACAACTGACAACAGAAAAAGAAAAACAAATCATGGCCGATATCACTTTCACAGATCTCAAAACAATTTCCAATCAAAAGAGGGACGACTTGAATTTCTTGGTTGCTTTTTTGGAAAAATCGAAAAAATTCGTTAATTCCATCGGGTCCAAGTCACGATCCTGCGGTGGATATATGTGGGCGATTGGATGGAGAAAATCTATGACCAAATTCGAGATTATCGGACGCTATGTAAATAAAGCAGCCATCAAGAAGAACCAAGAAGAATTCAATCAACATGTGAAAGATTCTGATCGAGCATCCTCAATCTTGTGGGACCTGTTTTATCCGATCGGTAACCGCGCCCTTGAAGCCAACCAACAATTTATGGCGGAACATAATCTCCCGTCCCTCTCTGACCCAGAACTTCCCAGTGAGACCTCAAAAGGTCACGATAAATTTTTCTCGACCAACCTCACTTTTACTTCTGATGGATTCTTTAATCATCCCCACAAGGACAAAAAAGACGATAAACGCCTTCCCTTTGCTTTCTTCTTGAGCCTTCCAACTTTCAAATCAAAAGGTCGGCTAGCTTTTGAATCTGATGGATATGACGTTACTGGCGGGCAGTTTGTTTTTCCGGAATGTGGCTTTGGGATTGATTTTAAACCTGACACAATGGTTCAAATGATATTTGCTCAAAGACTATACACACACGGAACGCTGAAGCCAACTGAAAATGGAAAATTTACTAAACTAGGGATGTCTTTACAAATTTCAGAGAAAACAACTAATATGTTAGATAGAATCTTAGCTGAGGAGTTTGTCACTAAACCAGAAATGCATGTGGGGGATGTTCCCCACATTATGAATCAGGTCCAAAAATGAACTCCGCTTATTAATATTAGTTTTTAAAAAAATCATCTTTACTTAGAATTTGAGTTCGATTAACTTTTTATCATATACTTTTCTTATTGGTATCTGATTAGTTCTGAAATGAAAGCTATATTTTATTTCTATGAAAGGCCAAATCAAATCGTCACTCCACTTATTTTCCTGAGAAAATATTAAAAATTAGAGGGATTGATTGATTACATTGTATGTGCGATCAAAGATTGTTGAAATTTGAAAAGATTCATTTATTCCCCCCCCCCCAAAAAAAAAAAGAAACAAGATCGTTTCAAAAACAAAAAAAGGGAATGAATCTAATTTGAATCCAATAACAAGATCATAACAAGAAAAAAAAGTGGAAGGCAAACAGGAGTAGAAAAATGGATATAGAGAAATGTGTTACTGGGGTTACAACCATAAGATGGGAGGGGGTCAAAGCACCTCACCAAACTTTTGTCCTCATACGACAGGTGACTCCCTAACCCCAACTCCCCATCATCAACACCTTGTGAACCCTTCAAAAATGAACCTCAAGATATGTACCTGTCCTCAATGCGCACAGCAAACCACGAGTCTACCAAATGGCGACACAATTCCCGGCTGTTGGGTTCACCCAAGCACTCGTTCTAAACATTGGTCTCGATGCTACTCATCGCTGGATAGTCTTGACAATTTAGCCATAGAGCTTCCATCCACTTCGGTCCTGCCCAAGAATTCTCGAAAGCCCCCCACGACTTCACCGCCTCAAAGTTCAGAAAAAAGCGACTCTGGATCGGAGTCAGAGTCATTTGAAACAAAAACTGAACCCGAATGTATCAGTGAGTCTGTTGTTATTTTTACATCCTATAAACCTTATGCTGACCTCCATTCTATTACATTTTTGATAGAGATTGTCCTTTTTTTCATTGCGTGGCTCAGCTTGATATGTGGTGTCAGTCAACATAACTGCCGTGTTGCCCGAGATTGGATAGTTTTTATTATCAAAACATTTCGAAATTTACCTCAAGACCGCAACAACTATCTACACACATACAAAGATGTCCGAACAATTACGAAGAGACTTGGCCTAGACCCTGAACTCGAGAGCTACCCCTGCTGCCCAAAATGCTTCAGCCTCTACGAACTTGAAGAAACCCCCACTACCTGTACCTATCGCAAGTCAAAGAAAGCTGAAGTGTGTGGCGAAAGTCTTTTCAAGGCTAATGTGGATCCTCTTCTGGCGCAATTTCAACCCACCTCTCGTGCTGTAAAACCTCGCGAAGTTCCATTCAAGCCATTCAGTCCTCGATTGATGTACCACACACAGAAATTCGACTCTTGGCTCAACTGGTTTCTTAATGTTCCCGGCATTGAAGATGAGGTGTATTCCTGGAGAGAAAAGGTCCAATCAGCCACCGGGAGAATCGTCGACATTCAACAGTCCAATGCCTGGAAGAGTTTTGCACTCAAGACTGACCGCAATTTACGTACCAACGAGCTTCGACTGACCTTTTCATTATACGTGGATTGGTTCAACCCTTTCGGCAATAAACTAGCTGGACGACAGGCGTCAATGGGGGTTGTAGCCCTTACATGCATGGATCTTCCTCCACATAGTCGAAATAAACGTGAAAACATTTTTATTGCTGGAATGATTCCTGCTCCTCAAGAACCAGACATGACAACAATTTCACACGTATTGGCTCCCCTGGTCGATGAACTGCTTATTCTCAACAATGGGATCTTTGTGAAAACCCCACGATTTCCCGACGGACGAAAGCTATCAATTCATCTGGGAATATTGATTGGTGACATTGTGGCGATGCACAAGATTGCCGGTTTTGCTTCTCACTCAGCGAGGTTTTTTTGCTCATGGTGCAAATGTCAGAAGCCTGATATGCAGAACATGCAGCGGGGTCCAACTCGGGGACGACGCGATACACGATTGCAAGCACTCAACTGGCGAAACTGTTCCACACTTGCGGGGCAAAAACGATTGTTAAAACGGTATGGGACTCGTTGGTCTGAACTAAATCGGCTACCATATTGGGATCCTGTGAGAAATGTGGCTCTAGGCGTCATGCACAATTGGTACGAAGGCGTTTTGCAGCACCACTGGCGGGTCCGCTGGGCATTTGACCCTAAAGCATCAAAGCACACAACACACGATGATCAGCTTGACGACTGGGAGGACAATGACTCAGAATTGTCACATTCGACTCAGGATTTTCAAGACGGCGCACTTGCACACATACGCAACGGGTTACAAAACGTTGTGGTTCCTCGTGGAGTGACTCAAGTTCCTCCAAATCTGGGAGATCCAAAGCATGGTAAACTCAAGGCAAGCGAATGGCATTCGCTCTTTTCGACGTACCTCCCACTCACCCTCATCGACTTCTTTGTCAAGAACCCAGCTGAATGTGTGCCTGGTGCACTGGGAAATACATTGCTCAATTTTTCCTCACTGGTTATATGTACCAACATTGTATCAATGAAGTCGGTTGATCACACTGATTGTAACAAGCTGTCTGAGGCTTACCGACTGTACACCGAAACTTCAAAGCTAGTATTTGACTCCCCAAAGATCGTACCCAACCATCACTATGCTTTACATCTTCCAGAACAGCTGAAGTGGTGGGGGTCCCTCTCGAATGTTTCTGAGTTTGCTGGCGAAAGAATCAATGGAATACTTCAAAAAATCCAGACTAATTCAATCGTTGGTATGTCTTCATTCTGTGTGTATAGATTAGTCATGTAGTCTGACATTTCTGTGATTTGTTTTTAGGTCAGTTGGAAGGCACTGTGATGAGAGAATTCTGTCAAGTCCAAAGGCTCCAGTCCCAAACTTCAGGCTGGTCACTGCAGGACGAGGATGTCATCACAAAACCAAATCCAAAAAAACTGGTGCAAGTGCATCCAACCATCTATTCAGTGATGTTTCAAAAATTACACTACGAAGACAATTCCTTGCGACAATACATGGACGTACCACATCCCAATGATGCAAACATCCTGTCTCGGTTCGTCATTGAAGAGAAAGCATTGGAAAGTCCGACTGGTTTATATATCAGCAAAGCAAGGCCAAACCGATTGGTGGCATACCACAAGGACAGTCATACTCGTTATGGGTGGTTACACACATCTACAGACTGCCTGAATGTGAGGGCAGGGTCTTGGTAGCAGTCAAATCACTTCGGAACGCCTGCTTAGGGGATGACATAGAGGTCAGTGATGGGTTTCGGCAAAGCCTTGTGGACTTAGAGCTAGCTGTTGTGAGGGAGGATACCAACTTTGAACTATTAGATCCTTGTGAAATCATATCTGTCTGTGCATACAGGCACCTGCCTGCTTGGTCATTTGGATACCACCAGCCCTTGGTTGTACTTAGACAAATCCCACATGACCTTTCCCCTCTTTTGCGTCCCTCTTCTGCTCAGTAATTGTAACCCCAATCTGATCCCAATTTCCTCTAATCAAAATATCTCCCTTCTGCCTTGTTGTTAGCAATTCAACCCCTCCTAAAATGGATTATCTTGCTCATTCCTCAATCCCATTTGAGGGTATAGCCCTGGCCAGCCACCATCATCATTGATGGCAATTTTGCAGTCACGAGACCAGAGATCTTTGTCAATTTGATAGGAGTGATTCATTATCAAAAAAAACAGAGCAAAGGACAAGCCTTCCCCCTTAAAAAAAAGACAAGAATCACATCCTAACAAAAATAAATCAAGCAGATGGGCTGTAAAGCTAACAAGCACAAGCACATAATGAATCTTTCTTTTTCAATAAAACTAAGAAGTGAGAGCAGCCACATTTTTTTTTCTTCGTTTTTTTTTTTCTTTTTTTTTGTCTTTTTTTTCTTTTTCTTTTTTTTTTTTTTCTACTTTATCTTTTAGATTTAGGACCTCAAGGCCAGCATATTTAACAACCAAGCATATAAATACATAGAATTTGGAAAAAAAACTACCAGTTTGCATTGTCATCAAGTACCATTGCATTATATCTCGCCTCACGGCCCTCCGCATCGGAGTCTTCTTGCTCATTTGGTTCGTTGTCCTCCTCCTCATCCCCCTCAAAATCTTCCTCTTCTCCATCTTACATGTCTTCATCAACAAAGTCGCGGTCTTCTTCGCCAACATCCTCTTCATCATCGTCATCTCCCCCAGATGTATCGTTCAAATCAATCTCTTCGCCAGCATAACTTCCATTGTCCTCTTCTTCCGTCTCGTTTTCATCGTCATCCTCGTTTTCTATCTCGTGAGTCAGATCGTAAGGCGCAGCAAGCGTATCGAAGAACTTTGAAGTGAACTGTTTGTCGGTTAGCTTTTCGGATGGGATTTGTTTCCCCATGAGTGATTGAGCAGCATCCGGTAAAAAAGCCACCTGGCGGGTATCGGCAACCTCTATCCTTTGCTGAGTCAGGAGGTTGTTGAACCAGGTCGGATCATAAAAATCGAGTGGCAATCCCTTTGGTGGTCTTGGAAAGATTGATTCTCGTACTGTTGGTGGCACCACTCGCTTGCGTCTCTGTACACGCTTTCGATCGAGCTCATCAGCTTGCAACATAGCTGCATCAAGTCGGCGAAAAAACTTTGTAGCATTTGCCGATCGGAACTTCAAAGTCTTGATTATGTAGACCGCATTTCTTGCGTCGTATTCATCGTCACTGTGGGAATTGACATCCGCAATTATATTCTGATAGCGTTTCGGAAGTTTCTGACCAAGCGCAAATTTCAGCCGGGCATCTCGAAGCTGGGCAATAACAAATCAGCATGCGTCATCACACTTAAATCGGGGTTTACATTATACTTACTCGATCCCGGGCCCGACCAATCACTTTCCGTTCTTCGTCAGCGCGAAACTTCCCAACTTCTTTTTTTTCCCTTTCGTATCGATTCTTTTGCAGAAAGTGTACATAGTGGTTGTACGTTGGGATCAGGAGTTGCAAGTTTTTGGCGTGGTTTTTGTTGATGTTCATGTATGCATATGCATCACTGCAAGCAGCTTGACGGAAAGTTTTCAGGGCAGCTTGTCTACATGCTTCGTTATACAGCGAGTCAGGCGAGTCTTCGAGGTCTGGGGCCCAAATACGCAGTCCAAGGCGGGCTAGAGTGGCCTGAGTATACTCCACAAAGAAGTCTTCCAGGTGGACCAGGCCTTTTCCGACCTTTCTTCGGCCAAGTTTCAAAGATTTGAGGTTCTGGATGTCTTTGACAGGGATCAGGGAAGGGGCATTGGTATTTTTGGCTGTCTGTTCGATTTCGTTGGCATCCGAAAAGCAAGAGTTGAATTCTCTGAGGGAATCTGAAGGTGGCGGGCCTGGGATGGTCTTTTGCTCCAAAAGATTCCATATGATCTTGATGTGGGCGTAGAGCGCATCCTGAAAATGCAAAGGAACAAGATATTAGCAAAAAATTAAGTTAATCAGGAACTAAATAGGAGACGGACGGACTCTGGTTTGAGAAAAAGATTCTGGCATGTTCTTGGTAATCATCTGGAGCGGGTTGGCTGGAGGAGATTTGGTTTTTGGAGTCACACTGCGCTTTCGTTGATTAGAAGGGCTCTTCTGATGACTAGATGGGGTCTTTTGCTGACTAGATGGAGTTCTTTGCTGACTAGAAGGGGTATTGCGAGGGGAGGGGTGATTGGATTTTTTCGGTGTGGCTGATTTTGATGTTCCAAGTCCTTGAGCGGTGCTTGCCTTTCCTTTGTTGATTGGAGTGGAGTTCGATTTTGATGATCCTCCAGGTTTTGGCGTGTTTGATTTGGTTTTTGAGGATTTTGGGGAATCATCAATCAAGCTGGCCTTTGCCATGAGCTTTGCAATGGCTTCATCCCGGGTTGCAAGTTGAGCTTCTAAATTTTTCGATTGTTGTTCTAATGCGGCAGCTATAATCGCTTGGATATCAGAGGCAGATGCCATGATGGCCGGGCAAAAATTAGGATATAATCGACTATGAAAGTTTTCTTGCAGCAAAGTGGCAGTAGGGGCTGACAGCACAAATGTATTTATTGATTGTGCCTATGAATATGCATGAGTACAGCTACATCCAAACATCTCAGGCAAGCTGATCACGTTCACAGTTCATTGATGTGGATCTTTGGGCTACAAAGCATCTAGAAAGGAAGTATGTACATGAGTATATGCATATCAATGAGTCAATTTGCTGAGAACTGTCTCAGCTGACGAAATAGACGGGTGGTGCACGAGGTGACGATTTGGCAGGCAGGTGACGCCCAGGCCGCGGCACGAGTTTCAAAATGAATATGCAATTCGTCAGCGCGACGAAATCTGAATTTCGTCACGCGATTGCGGGCTGTGCCACTCGGCCATCTGCCCATGGCAAACTGGGGGACTGTTCCCAAGGTGTTCCGCCAAGCTTGGGTGAAATAAAACATGGGTGTTGTTTCATCACGTCTCCCTGGCCATATTTAGGGCAGTTCACGTTCCAGCCAAACCTCTGCTGATGCAGCTTAAGGTTTGCTTGCTGATGCACAAACCTGATGAACTTGAAATGTGGGATTTTGAATCCAAAGGGGGACCTCCCACTAAACTGTTTTGGTTTCCCATAAATCTTAAAACAGCCATTCCAGCAAAGTTTGACTGCTGATTTCGAAATCAGCAGTAGGTGAACCCCCTTATTTTGAGGCCGAGCAGATGAGTTTGCTTGTTGTGGAAGAAGCTTCAAGGAAGATCTTACGATCTATCATCAGCATCCTCGGGGTGAGAGAGTTTGGTTGCAAGCCTGCCTTCCGTTTCCCGGGGAAGCCCCCGAACCGGCTAAGATAAGGGGAGCGTGAAATCTCCGTAATATTGGACAACGCCGAGGAGGAATCGGCCCGGGTGAACCTGAGGAGAGGATGTTCGGCAGAGTAGTCTGCCACACCAGGAGGACCATCGATATGGCACATCCACCACCAGCCGCTTGCTTTTCTTCTTCTGCTACCGACTCCAGTCAACGAACTTATCAGCCTCCACCTTCGATCGGCCGTCAGAAACTACTTATCCGTCGTCAAATCCGAACCGTGCTTAAGGAAATCACCTCCGCATCCTTGGCTCATCAAGGTATTTGGTTTGTCTGCTTTTTTTTTATTAATCTCTTCTTCTTTTTCCTTTCTTCTGCGAGATGGAGGTGAGCACTGATTGGGTGTTGTTTTCTATGGAATCAAACAGGGGAGGAAGTCTTGAAGCACTTGAAGAACCTTAATCATTATATAGATTCGAATCGAGTGAGCTGTTACAAGTCGATGAGCTCAGGCGAATTACCGACGGATTCGATCATCAAAAACTTGCTGGAAAAAAGTCAAGTAGTTTTTTTTCTTGGTATGACAGAAATCAGACACAGAGGGAGAACCTGACAAAGCTTTCCTCTCCTCCATTCTGTTTTAACGAAATGGATTAATCCTTGTCTCTTTGATCACCTCGATCATTATCCTTGCCCACGTATGCCGGCTGCACGCATCGAACAGGAAAGAGAGTATTCTTGCCTTACATCCATCATCCCACAGAAACAGCCGATCAGAAGAAGATAGGCACGCATCGAATGGAAATGCTGGGATTGGAGAGTTGGGTCGAATTCGAAACGGGCTTAGTGCCTGTCTCTTTTTCATCTTCATCCTCTTCTCCACAAGTCTTTCAATTCGACCCTGCCAAGATTTCAGGTCTTGAAAACGGTTAGTGGTTTTTTACATCCATCCCGAATTTCGATTTCATGGGGGATGTATACTTATGCTTAAAATTTTTAAAAAAAGCCCTCCCAAAGGGACTAGACTTAATTTTGTTACCAGGTAAATGAAACGGACAAAGTTCAACGTTGAACAACATTGCGAATCACATCTCCATTAACTAACTAACAAATCATCGGCAGGTTTGGCTTTTGATCGACACGGCAATCGACTCGGTCATGGAAAAGGATACTACGATGAATATCTCAACGAGTACACCGCAGTCTCATCAAGAACTTCGATTTCCGATCAATCGGCAAAACATCAATTGGAAAAGCCAAAGGCGAAAGAGCCGATCCTAGTCGGCATATGTCTCAGGGAACAAGTCTTGCCGGAAGAAGAATACATACCCACTCAAGCCCATGACCGTAGATTGGACTATCTAGTTTCGCCTGATGAAGTACTTTCCTTTGCCAGCTAAAGCCCGTACTTTCGTCAACTATGCTCCATACTTCGATTTTTTACAAGTCGCGTTTTTGTTGAAATCCAGGCTGAACTCTCGAGAGTACCGATAGTGTAAGTTGAGTGTAGTCTAATGAGTTAGGCAGCAAAAACTGGCATCTAGATGCCAATCACTGCTTCAAAGGCGTCCATCACCCGCAGTCGTGACGTTGTTGTTATTCTTCGCAGTAGCACCCTCGAATGGCCTCATGACGTCTTCAGAATCGGACATAACCCTAATGCAAATTCGGAACTTCCTGTGAGGGATCTCGTGGCCAGTTGTGAGACCAACTGTGACTCTCCGAGTTGCATTTTTGAGTTTATAATTGTTTATATACACCTCATAGAACCGCTGTCGGGAGCCCATACAAATACCATCTGTTTCCACTGGCCTTCCCGATTAGCATCACATCACTTGACTATTCATCTTTATTTGGACCTACTGAATGATGATGAGAGAAAAACATAAAGTGCTTGTGCAATTTGCAATCACTTTTGCTCTCACAAGAGGTAATATTTGTCCCCTCTTGGGCGGAAGTGTCGATCCAGAGGCCTCTACATCAATCACCGAAGGATGCCAGCATGGATTCCTTTCTAATTTGGACGAGGAAGGCGCGGGATTTCCTACAGGAGCGAGCGATAGCTACAGCCTAGTCAGCTCAGGTTGGAGCGAGTCGGCGAACAAGTTTACAACCGAACAAAAAGTCCGGATATCGAATCTTCCCTCTAACGCGGACAGTCTACCTGGTGCTCTGTCTGATAACGAAACTACAGAAAGAGCCACCATGGGGCAAGAAGAGGCAGATCAGGAAAATTTTGGAGCTGTTGGTTTTAAGAGCGGAGAAACACAAACGTCAGCATAAAGAGTTATTCAATCCTCGATTAGCAGGACTTGGCGAATGAATGGAAGCGCTCACATTCCTTATTATTCCTTGCGCAGGTCTGATGAAGACATTACCACGGAAAATGCAAGCCGGAAACCCAGGAAAAAGAAGAAAAACAAGAAAAACAGGAAGGCAAAACAAGTCGTTTTTAAACAGGGTGATGAGAACTCTCCGTCTCTCTTAGCGAAGAATGCTGTTGATGTGCAAAAAAGGCGAGTAGTTTTTGGTCCAAAGTCATCATCTTCTAAACAACTGACTTGGACTTCATTCATGGCTTCAGTCCGCCATCCCAGCCTGATCAGAATTTTAATCCTCCGTACATGGCAATCAAGAACATCGACCAGAAATTAGATGAAGTGAATCAAAAGGAGGACCACTGCAGGAGACTTGGGAACCTTTTTAGTGACTCTACTGATGGCGAATCAGAAGCTCCAACACGCTTGCCAAAATTTTCTTCGATCCCACAAACTGCTGATACAGTTACTGGTTTCTCAGGTCTAGTCAAATGTATTCTTGAGGAGGAAATAGAAATAGAAGAAAATATGAAAGAGAAAGGACTCAAAAGATTGAAGATGGCTTTCCAACCCTATCAATCAGCCAACTCTGGCGAAATATATCCAGGAGTTATCAAGGGGAAATGGAGTGATGTGGTCCATAAATCACAACCTTCATTACAGGAAATCATCAAGATTTTGAAACAAATTGAAAGTTCAAAAGATGGGGTCTCCAAAGACAAACTGACTGGCTTGCTGAATAATAAATGTTCGGATTTTGCATCCAAAATCTTTGAAACTCATCTGCAACTATTTAATAACCAGAATCATCTTCCCCTTCACAAATTGAGCTATGAGGATTACAATGGACTTAAATTCGTGTGGAACTTAAATCCAGAGCTGGTTTTAATTGAGCTGGAAAAACGACAAACTTCTTGCATTGGAATTAGTAAATCTGAACTACACAGGAGAATCATCACATTTACAAACCAAGTAATGCAAAAGACTATTGTTGAGAATTGGGGACTGATCAAGAATAGTTTTATTGAAAGGAAGAAATACAAGCCTAGTTTCCTGAACAAATTTGAAAAGTATTTCCGCCTACAACAAGAGTTTCCAAAAACAATTCTTGCTTCGGAGGAGCAATACTTGGAGGAGTATCCAAAAGATTTGAGAGCCAAGAACCCTTATGAAACCACTGAAAAACTTCTTCAATCAGTTGTAAGTGATTTTGAAGAATTCAGGAGGAACCAAGTGGCAACTGATCTGATCAAACATGCCCCAAAGTGGGAATTGTCCCAAGAAGTCAGAAGGGACCTACGGAAGGCAGAAAAATATAATGGAGTGGTTTTCTGGAATGTGTTCCACTTTATTCATTATCTTGGTTTAGGAAAACAAGATGATATTGATTCATGGGACTCACCCAAAGTGATCAAAAGTATTGAAACTCTCAACATGATTGTCTCCAGTCCAGACTGGTATTCAGACATTGATTGGCATCAATCTGCTGACAGGTTTTGGCTGAAGAGAGTGTTCAAAGAAGAATATGATCAAAAACTCAAAAGGTTGTGTGAAAAAGGGAAAACGATTAGGATGTGGGAATGTTGCAGTGAAAATCATTCAGACTGTTGCAGTTGTCCCAAGACATTCGATTTTCAAGCTGGAGAAAATCTGACAGATCATCAGATGATTGTCAATCTTATACATCTCAGGGAGGAAGAAAAATTGAGAGTTGGTGAACATGGTCTTAATGAGAAAATCCTGCTTCTTGTCAAGATTCTCAAAGACAAACATACAACCGAGGTTGATGGCCATACAAATTGGGAAGCAGTGTGGAACCATTTCCGGCAGAGA